AGGTTGCAGTGAGCTATGATTACGCCACTGAACTCTATCCCAGGCCACAGAGCAAGACCCTGTTTCCATCAAAAAAGAGGAAAAACAAGAAAAAGAAAAAGAAATTATTTTCTCTAAATAATCCCTAAAAAGGGGCCATTATGACTGGAGTTCATTAGGTATACCTAAAACAACACTGATTAAAGAATAATGCTTTTAATATATTAAAGTCTTATGATCTAATATTAATAGAAGGCAGTAGCAGGCAAAGGTAATTGATTTTAGACTTTAGCAAAATAAGTATACCTTTTAATTGACAAATTCAAAAAAACAGAATTTGTTGCTTAGGACAATGTTAAAATCTGTTTGCTACTGGTGTATACTCAATGATTTTAAAGAGTAGGATGGAGGCTCAGAAGCAGGCAAGATCACAACAAAGAAGCTAATCTGGATTTAAAGTTTGCCCCAGAGTCATCTGTAAATAATTAGGAATTGAGGTGTAGAGTTGTGTCCTATAAAAGTCCACTTCGGTTTAGTTCACAGAACATTTACTGAGTGCTTACTATGTAACAGACACCGTGCTAGGTGGTAGGTGGAGAGAGAGGTTCTTGAGGAACTACCAGTTTAGAGATATGGTGACACTCTTGTTATTGGGAAAAGTAGTGTGGCAACACTAGCCAGGGGGGAAAAAATAAGCACTTAAAGTTTATTTTGTCAGAATGTGCTTTTAGACTTATCACATCATTCTTGTTCAAAAAAGAAGATTAGATTAGGGTTCCTTCAGGGCCTGGGAAAGACTTAAGAGTGGAGGCAAGGACTGGAGAGGAAGTAACCTGAAATTCTGATGTCAAAGGAAAATTTTCAATGTCCCACTTTACCCTTTGGGGGCTTGTTCTGTGATAGTAGAACCGTCTTGCTAAAATCAGGGCATCCTCATTCTGGATGCAGAGTAGTTAATTTCAAGTCATGCTCTCACTAGTTACACATGGCCTTTAAAAATGAATTTACTTCCTATATAAAATGGTAATCTGTTTCAGATCTATGATTTGACTAATTTAAGATATGTCTGCTTGATTATAACAATCAAAGGGGACAAAAAAATTCCTCACCCTTATTTTTGTATTTTGGAATTTATTAAGCATATTCTTATTGTCTTAAGTATTATTATTGAAGAAACTCAATTCATTTAACTCTTTCAAACCATAAAGATAGTTAAGATGAACTCTTTTTAATCCATTATTTTCAATGAACCAGAATAACATGATGTTTAATATTTGGTTAATTCATTTATTCTCTCTTTTTGTTGTTGTTGGCTGGTCCATTCGTTCATTCTACAGTTACTTACTGAGTGTGTTTGCTGCGCCAGGCACTAGTCCCAGTACTGGGGAGACAGTGCTGAATAAGGCAGGTGTAGTCCTTGCCCTAAGGGAATTTACATTCTAGTCACGAAATAAAAAAAATTAATACATAATTTTATATAGTGACAAATATTAAAGAAAATAGAATAGGATAATGAGATAATGCTTAAAACTTTGCTTATCTTATGGTAATTTAATGACACATAGGCTTTTCTAAGGTTTTGGACACAAACCCAGGCAAAACTGGTAAATGTTTCATAAAACAATATTGCTTCCGTTCTTTCTAAAATAATCTTTGTGGTCACAAATTTTGATAGATTCAGAAATGTACCCAGATACCCCTGTAAGGAAAGACTCACTGCTCCAATTGCCTGGGAGTGCTGTTGGCAACTCTATGGCTGTCAGCTCCTTTCGGGGATGGTGTCGGCTGCACAGAGCAGCCTTGCACAACTTCACACTCTTCCTGGGTTGCCCATATTCAATGAATGACCAGCTATTCCTGCCCAGCTTGGATAACTCTGAAAGGCCCGTTTAGCTCCAGGGCTCCCTATGGGGTTCACTGAGGCTGTCATCGGGCCTGCACATCAGTTCAACTTTGCTCTCTGCCCAATGCTGCTTCCTTTGCCTCCCTCCCACAGGTGTTGATCCCAAGGGAACTTCCCAATTAAAAAAAAGTCTGCAGGGCTAAACGGTCTCAGCTCTGCTTCCTGGAGAATCCAACCTGTGATACAAATGTTATTTGTACTCATGTATAATATGGGAGGGTAGCCACCATCCCATCTGCATGGAAAAGAAGGGAATGACTGGGGCAGTGGCTTTTAGAAAAAAAGAACCTTTTTCAAGGGAAATCTTAAGTGGAATCCAAATATATAATATAAGAGATAAGAGTAGACCTGGTCCTTGGTGAGGTGTGGGTGAGAACTGCCTCTTTAAAGACTATAGGAATAAAAGCATAGGATTTCAGACCTGGAAGGGAACTTTAAAATCATACAGAACAAATCTTAATTTTACAGATGGAGAGATTGAGGCCCAGAGCGGTTTGTGACTTGTCTCAAGTAAAATAAAACTAACAGTGGCAGACAGAACTACAAACCAGCTTCCTCATTTCTAAGTTCAACATACAAAATTTTCTACTGAGTGTTTAAGATCCTATTTCATTTATGTCCTCAGATGAAAAAGTTTTAGGAATTTGAGTAAACCAACCAATATAAACTTTGGGAAGAATTTTTTGATTTCTACTCTTTTTAAAAATAACATATTTTTAAGCTCAGGTAAAAGAACTAAATGGATTTCATGAAGAGATACCATATTTAACATTACGTTTTCATATATTAATATATTTTATTTTTCTAGCCTACTTATATTTTAAAGTTAACTCAAAGTTTTATTTGCAAATGTGTCTTGATTTCCTTCCATATTTCCTCTATATATTTCACACAAAATATAAATACATCATATAACAAATTCTTCCTGACATATATTTGTTGTGGATCATAAATACAACTGCCTTCTATTTCAGAATATAAATTACATCTATTCTTCTTAAGTGATTACATCAGGGACACAAAAGTATTTGAAAGACCTGTATTGTCACAAGGTAGCTCTACAACAGCGTGCCAAAATTAAAATTAAAACCCCCTATGAGTTCTAGACCAGGGTCTTCTTTCTTGTTGATTATGCTCATAGCATCTTTCTTCTAATTCTGGGTGCCCATCTAAGTAGTCCTGGAGTAAAAAGATCCAACTGAATTCTTCTTTTGTTCCCTATACCCATGGAGCCTCAGAGGTAATGGGAAGGAAAGAGCCAGACCTGTCAGTACCCATGGTAACTCCCTCCAAACAGCCCAGCAAAACCTTCTTTTCTTCTCTTCATACATAACCACTTGTCTGCGTTCAAAGGAGGCCAGCTGGCAATGCTGTACTCAGTAGATTTCTGCATTTGTCTGATATCATCCCTTTCCTCAAACTGTTTCCATGGCTTCCTAATAATCTGAGGCTTTGCTATCTCTCTAGTCCCAAGTCACCGTCCACATAGCTCAGCGAGCTCCCACCTTTCCGGCCTTCCCCTCTCTTCCTCAAACATATAAAGTTCTTTTTGTCTCTGGGCCTTTGTACTTGTTGCTTTCTGACTCGGCCCATCTCTTACCCCAAGCTAGCTAGCTTCTACCTGTCTTTGAGGTTTTAGCTTAAATGTCACCTCACCAGGTAGCTTTCTCTTACTCCCTGCTAGATTAAGTCCTCCTTTTACTCAGGGTAAGTTTCATAATTACTTTTTCTTTCTTTAGAGACAGGGTCTTGCTGTGTTGCCCAGGCTGGAGTGCAGTGGTACGATCACAGCTCACCACAGCCTTGAACTCCTGGGCTCAAGCAATCCTTGTGCCTCAGCCTCCCAAGTAGCTGGGACTACAGGCTCATATCACCAAACCCGGCTAACTTTTTTTTTTTCTGTAGAGACGAGATCTCACTGTGCTGTCCAGGCTGGTCACAAACCATAATTACACTATTGTATGTAGTTATTTGTGTCATTATTGGCTTAATCTCCCCCACAGATAATAAGCTCCATGAAGGCACTGTGTCTGTTTCATTCCTTCTGTATCTGCAGGGTCTTCTATAGTCCCTAGCACATGGTAGAGGTCCCCACTAATATCTGCTGAATAAATCAGTTCATCAACTCCAGAAAGTAAACGTGTAGCCCTCCACTATTGATGACTGGGCACCAATATATTTTCTCCTGCCCTTCCTCCTTTCCTGTCCAATTTCCTATTCCTAAGAAAAAAGCACAACCAAGAGAACATAAGTGAAAAAAAATTCTTAAACATGTTTTCTCACTGGAATTAAAATGTGATCACTGCCATTCATTAAAATAAGTACATATATCCCTCACGTATACTTGATAAGGAAAAAAATTATAAAGTGTCCATTTCTGTAATTCCATACTATGAGCTGTTTATTTAAGGATTCTCAAAATGCTTTTGGAGAATTCCTACAAAGAATTATTGATAATTCTGCGAAATACTCACAGAAATTACCTTAAAAGAAGCTTTAAAATTTTTTTCACAGTTTTCATTAAGTATTTCAACTTATGAATCATCCATCATAGGCTTATATAAAATGAGGATCTTTAATTGGAAAAGAACACCAAAATAAAAAAAAACCAGGATCATTCATTCAAAGTCAGAATATTTAAGCTGGTGGAGTGCTAGCCTTAGAAGAATTATAAACAATCAAAGAAACAGCAGAAAAGAGCATAAACTGTTGCTAAAACAAATAGTATGTTGGGAATACAGACTAAGAAACATACTTCTGACAGAGTGTACTTGTAAAAGGGCACAACCAACAGGTTACACTCAGGAACCTTTGAAGGTTTACAGTATTAAGGTTATTGGTTTAAAGAAGGACTTACTGGATTCTTCGACTTATTTATTTTTATTTGTTGATGATGGTGGATGTCAGAGTCATGAGAAAGAAAGATGAAGGAATAGGCTCAGATGTAGCCTGGATAGTCCTTCATGATCTTTTTACTGTAAGAAAACTGTCAAAGCTAGGTTTAGTCCCACATTTCAGTTGCAAAAAGGTGACTAAAATGTCTGGAAGCTAAGTGACCTGAATTGGCTTCGCTATGACTGGCAAAGCGTAGCGCGGTGAGGGGTACCATGAAACCTACCTTCCTGTGCATGACAGAGGAGCTGGAATTCATCGTGCTTTCGTCATCGTGCATCATGACAAGTTCAGGGCTGCTCTCGTCCATGACCTCCTGCATGCTGTTCACGCTGCTGCTCTGGCTGCCTGTGCTCACCGACACGCTTGGAATGGAGTGGTTGCTGCCCAGGCTGTCCATGTCCCTGATCAAGCTGGTTCCGTGTTCGCTGTCCTACAAAAATGAGGCACTGGGGTTCAAAAAAATGACTGGAGATACAGCGCCAATCGTTGACTAAGCTACTAAGCATACACTCAATTCTGCAGTGCCAAGTTGCTTTTCTGCCAATCTGCAAAGGTGAACTTTTAGTGTGGTGGCTCCACTACTTTCCCACCATTTTCAGACATCTCAAATTCACTTCTATGTCTTCCCCAGGAGCCATTCTGGGCATGGGTCATAAGGCTCAAAATGCTGCTATCGCAGGGCTTTCTCCTGTCAGACACAATCATCATATTATTGTATTGCTATTCAGTAAGCAGAATCAGGCCAGGTTTGTAAGGGACCTTTGGGAACATCAAGGTGCTAGAGAAAGACTGCTGGCCACTGAACAGGTGGTGGGCCTCCGGGACATCTGCAAATACAGCAGTGGTCACTTGAAACTAAAGTAAAGTGGAAAGAGTTTTCAGAGATTTGACAAGCAATATGTTCCTCTGCAAGTCATTACTGAGTCATATCTAAGCAGGGATATTAATTCTACTGTCCAGGACAGGTAATTAAATTCTGCCTCCCTCAAGCAATTCTATCATGCTTATCTCTGTAATCTTATTAAATATATCTGTTAAATAATACTGGTATTCATCACTACTGGTCCAAAGATGACTATTTGAAAAGTGGTAAAATAATCAGAACATATAATTTATCTATCACAGTGGGATATCTTTTGATATAAGATTAAATAATACAATTAAATCAACTTGGCTATGAATAAACCCTGTTTTCAAAGAACCGTACTGTACACATATAACTTTAAAAAATTGTTACTTAACCATGGCAATATAAGGAATCACTGGGTCATATAAAACAGTAGATAATACATCATATTTTTAACAGATTTATTTTCCCAATTAAAAGGGATCATTTCTACATATGCGATCAAGAGATTTTATAGTTCAAGTCTGTTTTCTGAGCTTC